GAGCTGCCTGTAATTATATAGAAGGTATAAAAACACCAAAGGAATAAACTATGAAGGAAGCAGGAGCTTTGGTCATTCCTAGAGCACAGAAGGGAAGAGGCCATGTAGAAGAGTGTGTGTACTGCCTGGAGAAGGAACACCTCGATCCACAGATTTGTTGGGTTCCAGCAGCAAGCTACTGCCATCACGGGAGATGGATGCATTTACTTATTACCGGCTGTAATTGTTAAACATTTATGCCATAGATCTGATTCCCTGGGTTTTGATTTTGTAACCACTGACTCTTTGACTCTACTTATGATGCAACTAGAAAGCACCCCAACTAGAAACAAATCCACTTAGCGGTTATATCTGTACTATAAGTTAATAAAATGGCACTCCGAATTCAGACATCCACTTCTAAGACATTAAGGAAAGGGAGTCCACCTGAGACAAGTTGGGCTAACAAATCTGTCTAGAGACATAGAACAGCAGAAGATCAGAGGCTGGATTATGGTAAATTTACCAACAGAATATGCCACCACATAGAAACTCATGGGGTATCCCAGGGTGCCCCAATACATATCCTGTCTTGTTGCATTATTTTATTTTTAACAGAAAGGCCTTTATTCAAGCCCACTAAAGACCTTCTATGACCTGGTGTCTACAGTGTCTTTTTTTTTTTTCTGGGACCCTCGCCAGTGGCCGAGGATATAACTGGCGCTGCAGAGGCTGCGGGCAGCCTCACAACCCAGCGCTCAACCGCTGTGCCCGAAGGTTTTTTTAAAAAGATTTATTTATTTAATTATACAAGCACTGGGTACAGTCAGAAGCGTGGGAGGGTGAGAGAATTCACCAGAGCCAGAGCGGGGAGCAGAACAGGCAGAAGGACTGAAGTACACTGCTGAGGGGAGCAGCGGTCTGCGCACTATGTGGGACCCTCGCCGGCAGCGGAGGATAGAACTGGTGTTGCAGAGGCTGCGAGCAGCTTCGCAGCCCAGCGCTCAACCTGCGCCACTGGGGAAGCCTTACAGTGTCTTTCTATATAGCCTAAGCTAAAGCAGAAACAAGTGTTCTGATCCCACATATTAGAGTTTCTAGCTCAGCTTAGTAATAGGCTGCTCTACATGCTGACAGACTAAATTTTAATTAATTCTGAAAGTTCAACACAAATAATACTTTTTTCACGAAGACTTTTTAAAGTAGTCTATCCCACTAAGGCTAAAACTAAAAATTTTGCATTAAAAATGGATCTGCCATTTGATCCAATAACTCCACTCCTAGGTATCTACCGCAGAAATTCAAAAACATTAATTCAAAAAGAAACTTGCACTCTCATGTTAATGTAGCTCTATTTACAAAAGATACTGTAAATTATGGAAACAACCTAAGTGCCCCAAAACAGATGAGTGGATCATGAAGATGTGGTATATATACACAATGGAATATTACTCTGAGATCAAAAAGGATAAACTGCCATTTGTGGCAACATGGATGCATTGAGCTAGAAGGGATAATGCTAAATGAAATTAAGTCAGAAGGAGGAAGAGAAATACTGGATGGTGTCACTGATATGTGGAGTATAAAGTAACTAAATTAAGAGTCTGATAAAGACTAGCTTAAAAACTAACCTTTGATAGCTGACCCACAGAACTGAAGCACCAAGGTGGGGAGAAGGTGAGGTAGAGGTAAACACAAAGAGGGAAGGAAGCACAATGGACTGTGGTCATAGGCTGTGGGTGAGCTGGTGGTAGATGCACTATGGTGGTACTACTTGACGAGGGTATCCAAACATTACCTCAATTAAAAATAAATAAAATCAATTAAAAAAAAACTAATAATTTTGGTAACTCAGGCAGATACCAAATTGTCCCAAATTGTCCTTTGATTTGTAACTTATTGGGTGCCTTACCAGAATCATTAAGAATTGGTGGAATTTGATAGGTTCCTTTTTCAGTAAATAGATATTAATCAGGTATTAACTTCAGTTTCTCATCTTAACAGACTACATATGTTGTGAATAGGTAATATAATAAATGCTTAAGTTGGAGCTATTACTTTATATTTCTGCACAGTCAAATCAGTGCCCTGGGACATAGCCTACTTTACCTACACTATCAGTCTACAGTAGGTACACCTATATTTACCAATTAAAAGTATTCTCTCCCAGTAAGAGAGGGATCAATGAAGTACTTATTTTATTTTTATTAAATAATTATTAAAATTATTTAAATCTATTCCTCTGTTTAGGGCGCTTATTACTTGCTCCCTCTATTTTATCTGCTTTTGTTTTATCTTCTGTGTTCTTTAAAGAGATGAGTCATATCTATTTCATCTTCGTATCTCCCAGAGGTTTCAGTCAGTGTGTTGTATGTAGATGGCACTTAAAAATATAAATTAAGAATATCTCTTCCACTTTCCATTAACGCTCTCATTTTCTAAATACATACCCCGCCTTCTTTAAGGTTTTCATTGACTAGCACAGTCCACAGGTCACTCTTACTTTTGAAATCCTGTAAGAACTGGCTGCCTATAATCCATTTAATTGCCACTAATATTACCCTAGTGTTATCTTTTTATGTGTATTTGCATTTTATAGTCCTTACATATCTCTCAATATATCCCAATAATATCTAGGCACAGCATAGAAAATTTATAAATATTACTTCACTCAAACAATCTTAAAAAAGCCAAGAGATTTGTTAGCTAAAGTGTGAAGTCAACACGGGCACCAAAATAAAATAAAAAATAAAAGATCTCAACCATGGCAATGAAAAACAAACTCCTATTGTTGAAGGAACAAAGGCTTTGTGTACATAATAGCTATTAGTAAATTAAGTTCTGCTGGAATTCTACAGGTCTCTGAATTTCATCAGTTTCCCTTTCACTTTAGGGGAGACAGAAGGGCAACCACATTCATTATCTGACAATTCCAATGAAAGTGGAGGCTTTACACAGAAACAATTATTATTATGTAAGGATAATAGTCAAACATTACTTAGTTTTTCCAGTTGAAGATATTTATATAGTCAGTTTGCAGTATTTAACATTGTACTATGAGCCAAGCCTTAGCATTTAGGGTTTCCTCCTCCTTAATGAACTAAAAGCAAAAGAGCAATCTTTGAATCTCACTTCTTTTGTATCCTTCCGCAACTAAGAACGACATTCACAGCAGTCATTTAATAAATAATACTAGAATGGCTTTAAAGTTTCATTTCATTTTACAGATTTTTTTTTTACAGATTTATTTATTTATTTGTTTGTTTGTTTTATACAAGCACTGGGCACAGTCAGAAGCGCGGGAGGGTGAGAGAATTCACCAGAGCCAGAGTGGGGAGCAGAGCAGGCAGAAGGACCGAAGTACACTGCTGAGGGGAGCAGCGGGCGGCAGGAGAGGTCTGCGCGCCATGTGGGACCCTCCTCTCGTGGCCAGGGAGCAGCCGGGGATCGAACCAGCGCTACAGAGGCTGCGGGCAGCTTCGCAACCCAGCGCTCAACCGCTGCGCCACTGGGGAGACCCTCATTTTACAGATCTTTATGATAATGGAATAGCACTGATTTTGTACGTGATTTAAATATACATAAATTATTCAAATCAACTTCAAATACAACACAAATATGAATTATCAATTTAAATGCAATAAAGGTGTTAGTTCTCTCTCCCATTCAGTATTCATTCATTAAGCTCTAGACTCTTTCTACCAAAGCGTGATCCTTAGACCAGCAGCACTGGTATCACCTGGGGGCTCATTTCCAGGTAGAATCTTAAGCCCCACCCCAGGCCTCCTAATTCAGAATCTGCATTTTAACATGCCCAGGCTTTTAAGATTTGAGAAGCACTGGTGTAAACTCAAGAGAAAGAATTAGAAAGTATATGTATATGGCCAAGTACTACTAACTCATTGCACTTATTTGTTGGTCTTCCTTATCTGCTAACTGAAGGCTTGTTGATGGCAGGTACCCATTCTATCTTCCTTACCACTAGCATTCCCTGGTTCTAACAGGCCCTAGATCATCACCCAGTACTCAGTTTATTTTGCTGAATGCATGAATCACAGAACAAAGTAAAACTTTTTCAGAAAGCTAATACTTTAGGAGATTCTTTTGTATAGTATTATTTCACCTACTACCATACTGATTGTTTAATTCAGTATTATGAATGCAATTTAAAATACGTTGCCTCTATTTCAACAAATGCACTTGACAAAGCAAAAGCCTGGATCATCTTCCTGTGTTGGACCCACCAGGGCATTCTTACAAGTGAGATAGCTGCATTTTAATTCTGGCTCTCATAGATCCATTCCATATGTTTGTACAAGATGAAATCACCATGTCTTTGAGGAGGGGAGAGATTTGGGGGGTTTGGTAAAGGGAAAACAATTCCGGATCAGACGCATCATATAACACCTGGAGAACACGTAACTTCCAGAAAATAACTCCTAGCAAAGGAAAGAAAGAGGTAAGAGGTAAGAGAACCCTTACCTTTCTCAAGAGCAAAAGGTGATACTAGAGAATACGGGGAGTGATAAAAGACCAGTCACTACCTAGCGACGGGAGGTGGAAACACACCAGCCCCAGACCAGAATGAAAGCGGGCAGCGGTTAGAAACGTCCAAGGAGGGTGGGTGCCAAAAACCACGTTCAGGTTTGCAGAGCAGGAAACCAAGGGAAAAGAAAGGGGAAAAAGAAATAGCTCTATAAAGGGTATTAGTTCAGGATGATGATTTTGTTTTTTGAGAGCCACGACATGCACATAAAAGGAGGGCTGGGGAGGGGAAGAGAGGCAGCCACCTCGCGCCCTGCAAAAGCAAGAGGCTGCAGCCCTCTCTGCCCCACTCAGGCGGTCTGAGGGAAGCAGCCCGGGCATCGGTGGGTGGCAACGCCCAGCCCCGCCGGCCCTCGCCCCACGGCCCTCCCGTCTCCTCTGCAGCCTGCAGAGCTCAGGGTGGGGACAGGAAAGGGAGGACCGTCTGTGCGAGGACGTGCAGGGGGTCACGGATGCGGGGCTCACCAGGTACCCACCTTGTCCCAGCGGAGCCACTGCCCGATGGCCGTGTCTAGCTGGGGGTCCCCCGTGCGGTAGGGGGCGTGGAGCAGGTTGGAGTTCAGGTCCCCCTCCGCGTTTTCAGCCATGGCAGACAGGTGGGGATGTGCAGGTCTGGGGAGCCCGTGGAGACCCCGAGCTGCTGGGGAGCAAGGGGCTGAGGTGCGCTCAGCAGGGTCCCGACGCCCCCTCCTCCCTGAAGGGCATCAGCGGCCAACCGCAGGGGGTTCGCGCCCGTTCCCGCCGCAGCTGTGAGGGAGCGGGAGAGGGGGCGCTACGGCCATCCGCGCCCCACCACACCGGCGCCAGGTCTCCGGGCCAAGCGACTGCGGCGATCCCGCCCGACCGCCCGCCCGCCCGCGGAGAACAACAGTCCCAGATGTCTGGGTCCCGGCGGCGGCCGCGCCGCGCTCGCACCCCCAGGCCCCGCCCCGGCGCGGCCGCCCCGCCCCCGCCAGGCTGAGCCCCCGGAATTGGGGCGCGCGCGGCGGCTCGCGGTCCCGACGCCCGTGGGCGCGCAGCCCCGCGAGTTAAGACCCACAGAGGTAGTGAGGGGGTTTTATGTTTAATTTTCCCTTTGCATTGTGTTTTATCCTTGTCACAGTCCCGGCGCCTCGCTTTATCTCGAGCAACCGCCACGGCCCGGTCGCGCGCCCCGCCTCAGCGCTCCCCCTGCCAGGCGACGGCCGCGGCGGCCCCGCCTTGCCCGGTTACGGGCTCCCAGCGCCGGCCGGGAGGGAGGGCGCGCCGGCCTCGAGCCGCTCGGCCTCATGGGAGTTGTAGTTCTTTTCTTTTCCAGAGGCCCGAGGAGACCTTCGCCAAGACTACGACTCCCAAGGAGCTCTGTTCCTGCCTTTAGGGGAAAAGATTTGCCTCGAGGCTGTTCCCTGCGGCACGCCCTGTCCCTGTTAAGTGGCGCCTGTGGCCCCAGGATTAATTAAATTAAACAAGAATTGATACGGTCAGGGGGACTACTGGTAGCCACTCCGCTTAGTGCCCGACCTTTTACGAATCGCTTCGCTTTCTATTGCCTCAGCCCGTGAGGCAGGTGGGCGTGAGCCACTCCCATTTTACAAACAGAGAAAACTCTCCGCGAGATGAAAGTACGTCTTCAGAGAGGGGGTTTTCAGAAGTGATGGAGCCAGGTGTCAGCCTCGATGCTGATCTCGTCGTCCCGAAGTTCTTTTTGTTCTGTTGCCACAGTGACCTGGAAGACAGGGAGAACTGAAAAATAGACAAGGAAGTTGGGAAGGAGAATCAGCATTTAACCTTCACATAAGAATTCACCAACAGCACAAGAGAGATACAAAGGAATGAGCTTAGAAATACTGGGGAAGAAGTTTATTGAAATAATCTTACATTGCTTATTTTGGAGTTCTCTCTACGGAATGCGCATTTTTCAAGTCACACCTTGAGGTCTGGGAGATGCTTAGAGATGCTTACCTTTCAGACTTCACTGCAGCAGAGATTGTTTGTTTGGTCTTATAATTTCGACCAAATATTTTACAGCTCTTCCCCTAATCAACTTTTTATAAGAAGGGTGCAATGATATTGGCACCATGGCTGTGGTATTTAATAAATGGCTTTAGAGTGCTTTGAGGTTCATAGATAAAAGACATCATAAACCCAGGGTATTTCTTTAAAGTGCCATTTGCCACAATAAAATCCAAACTACCAAGGTAAAGGTACAAAAGGATTGTGGTGCCAGTTCCTGAAAACTAACGAGCCATTGTTGGTAGTTACAGTTTTTGCTAACCTGTTAGGTGTTTCCTTTTTTGAAGTCAGCAGGATCTTTTAATCCCTCAAGGCCTGGGAAACAACCCTTGTGTCCTGGAGGAAAACTTTTCCTTCACTGTCGCCCCCGTTGTCCAAGACCATAATTAAATATTTACACTAGCATTATATTAGGCGCTGAAACTACAATATAACATACTCATTTTAAAAAATCTGTCTGGGGACGTGATATAGACAAGAAAAGAGAGCCCATGAAAAATAGTAAATGCTTGCTGTAGATAACTGTTAAAGAATTTAGAGTCTGGGTTGGTTATAAAAGCAGCAAGTGAAGGAAAATTAGTAAGTAGAGAAAATAGTAGAGGGTATTTCAAACCCATGGACAATTGGTTCTCAGATCTCCCTAGAAGTTTGTTTAAAATGTATGTTCCTGTTTACTGCCCCAGAGATTCTGAATCAGCATATCTGGATAGGGCTTACATACCTATGTATTTAACAAATGCCTGTTGAGATACAGGTTGTCATAATCTTGCTACTGATAGGAAAGTGTGATAGCAGGACCAGTGTGTTGGCATCCTCTGGGAGCTTATTAAGAAACACAAAATGTCAGGCCCCATCCCAACTCTTCTGAATCAGAATCTACTTTTAAACAAGATCTAATCATGATTTATATGCATATTGATTTTGATAAGCTGTCATTTTTGTCAGTTAATTCTTAATTCAATTTGAGAAACACTACTAATTCAACAACACTTTCAAGAGATGAAATTATATACGGCAAGTATATGAAACAGGAGAAATACAAATTTTAATTCAATCCCAGCATCAACTGGCCCTTGCTTTAATCAGCAAGATCACAAAAGACAAATTATTTACTAGAAACCTAGCACAATGTCTTCAGTATATTGCTTAGGAGTTGAAGGTAACCAAGGAGACCCAGAACTCATCAAATCCAAGAACGGTGTTTAAGTGTGTCCAGAAGAGAGAATATAATGGTTTTCCTAGTAAGTAAGGGAAAGCTCAGGATCTTTAATTTCTGTTGGAGTTTTCCCAGGTGGCATGTATTTTTATTTGTTAGATCTGGCAGCCCTAACTGTGGTTGTGAAAGAGGATATCCTTCAGAGAAAAATCTAAAGAGACTTAAAGCTCTTGTTCTGTCAGGGTAGCAAAAAATTGAGATTTTCTCAGTATCACTCGTTCCGCTCTCCATCTAGGCTTTATATGGGTGGTACTGTGTAGAGGCAGGACTGGCCACAGTGCAGGTTTTCTGATCCCATGCAGACCGGGTAAAGGAGGAGTCAGAGTCCTTAGTGGGTTTTTGCAGGTCTTTTATTGGGGTTCACCAGGCATATGGCAGGCCTCCCAGCCCCCAGCAAGTCTTTACTCTATCTGGTCTCTCTGGCGTTCGTTCTGCTGCTTCTCGGCTTCTCTTTCAGCTTCTGCTGCTGCTGCTGCTGGCATCCCCGTGACGCCGCCCTTAAAAGCACAGTCTTAGCTCAGCTGAATCCCATCTACCTATGCCCACACCCTATTCCAGGTGCCCGCCATCAGGCATGCATTCAGGACAAAGATCCATCATCTATCCTGATGGCGGAAGAGCAGAAAAGCCTGATATTTTCTTTACCCTACATACTGGAAAAACAGAAAGCATCTATAGCTCTAACACCTGTATTGTCCAGGACCATAGTGGTCTTGGAAAGTCTGACAACTTTGCTTTGCATTCCACTTGTAAGCTATGACCAGGAAACTTGCTTGAGGCTACAAATACCAAAGTCTCTATCTAGGTTTACCCCATGGTCTTACCCTCTAGAATCTTGAGAATTCCTTCAAGTGCAAACACCGAGCAGAGCTTGGGACCTCTCTCATCACCCTCTTATTTTAACACTTTAAATATTGAGGAAATCTAACATTCTGCTCCATGATTGCTCTGAAAAGAAGAGCATTTTCTTGCTTCTCACAAAGATAGTTGTCATAAGCTCTAGAGAGCTCTGTAAGAAAAAAGAGTCAAGAAAGGAAGTATCTCTTAAGCAACTTTCTACTTTTATTCTGAATACATTAAAACGCCACAAAGGCTGGGAATTCAATAGCAAACTGTGGTTGTGTGTGTATAAGGGGTATGGATGGAGATCACACCACGGATAAGTGTGAAGTGAGGCAAAGAACGTGGGGTACACAATCTAAAGGGGCACTCCCTCTCAGATTTGTGGAAGTGCAGGATTGGTCTCTTAGAGTGACTGCCTCATTACTTTCTTAGAAACAGCTTTATTGAGAAATAGTTTATATACCAAACCATTTTTAACATGTGTAATTCAGTGTTTTTTATTATATTCACAAATATTTGCATATATCACAATAGTCAATTTTAGAATGTTTTCAGCACCTCAAAAAGAAAGCTCAGGGGCCTCCCCAGTGGCACAGCAGTTGAGCGCTGGGTTGCGAAGCTGCCCGCAGCCCCTGCAGCGCCAGTTCGATACCCGGCTGCTCCCCGGCCACCAGAGGAGGGTCCCACATGGCGCGCAGACCTCTCCTGCCTCCCGCTGCTCCCCTCAGCAGTGTACTTAGGTCCTTCTGCCTGCTCTGCTCCCCGCTCTTGTGAATTCTCTCACACTCCCGCGCTTCTGAATGTATCCCGTGCATGTACAAATAAACAAAACAAACAAATAAACAAATAAATAAAAACATGCCTCTATTAAAAATAAATAAATAAATTTAAAAAAATAAATAAATAACAATAGCTGGGCCCCCCTTTCTGTCATTACTTTAAAAGAAAAAAAAAAAAAAAGAAACCTCAGACCCTTTTGCTGTTTGATCTCTTTATCTTCCCATGGATCTGCCCTCTGTTGTTAAAGGTAGAATCCTGGAATATTGTAGTCTTTTGTGACTGACTTCTTTCACTTAATATGTTTCCAAGATTCATCCCTGTGGTAGCATGTGCAGTATTTCATTTCCTTTTTGCAGTTGAATAATATTCCAGTGTGTGGATAGACTACATTTTGTTGATCTATTTGTCCACTGATGGACATTTGAGTTGTTTCTGCCTTTTGGCTATATGAATATTGCAGCTATACATACTCATGTAGTTTTTAATTTGGAAATTATTTTCATTTTTCATAATTATATACCCAAGCTTGGCTTTGATGGATTATATGGTAAGTCTATGTTTAATTATTTGAGGAACTGCCAGACTATTTTCATAGGGGCTGCACCATTTTATATTCCCACCAGCAGTGTATGAGGATTCCAATTTCTCTACAGATATTCCAACACTTGTTTCACTTTTTGATTCTAGCTGGTTTAGTGAATGTATCTCATGGTGATTTTAATTCACATTTCCCTGATGACTAATGATGTTGAGCATTTTCATGTGCTTATAGGCCTTATATTGGTGCTTATATATTATCCTTGGAAACTATTCACCTCCTTTGCCATTTGAAAAATTTGGTCATCTTATAATTACTGAGTTGTAAAATGTCTTTATGTTTCTAGGTATGATTTTTAAATGTTCCCCCTCATTCTATGGGTTGTCTTTTCATATTCTTGATGGTATCCTTTGAAACACAAAATTTTTAGTTTTGATGAAGTCTAATTTATTTTTTAATTTTGTTG